GAGCTGCTGCAAGATTTATTAAACAAGGGGGCGAAAACTGTTTAGACGTCTGATGAAATAAGAGTTACATAAATGCAAGGCAATATTGTTATCTCTAAGAGGTGCATGAAGTTCAATTAACTCTTACAACATCCTTACGAGACAGGTTGATAACCTTGGACTTATTTTTACAGATGAGAGGGCTTAAGCCCTTCTCCAAAGCCACAGAGAGCAGGTGCATGAGAAGAGGTACAATGACTAGATTCAGACCTAGGCTGGTATTTGTTGATACCTGAAAGTACTTTCAAGGGAAGTTTTTAAAGCAATCTCATCACCCCTTTGGCAGGCAATTAGAGGAGCCTGCATATTATTCTAATTTTCTTTCTGTGTTTCTTCATGAAATTTATCTGACATGCAAGACACCTGGTCTCAATGGTATCCAAGAGGAGCCAAGTATTTTGAGAGCGTTAGAAGACATTGTTTCAACAATCAGACAAATATTGTGATTTAGTGCAGCCAAGGGCAACGTATCCATCAGATATGGAGAGAACAAGGAAAAGGGGAAGAAGGAAAGCCACGGTGACGGATACTGTGGTTTGTAAAGTAAAGTTATATATGCAGCAAATGCACCGCTCTCTTTAACACTACCTACCACCAAGTAAAAGCAAATACAAATGGAAAAATACACATTTTCCCTTCAGCCTAACCAAACTTGCTTACTTGTTCCCAAAACTGCTTGTTCAACATTGCTGAAAATGATTCTAATTATAGTGCCTGGCACATAGTAAATCACCAATAAACGTTATCTTCTGTGAGTTGGACTTGGAGTAGAAATAGCATTGCATAAAGTCAAGGACATAGTAGGAATAAGATACCTGGTTTGAAGCCTTATCTCTTGCACTACCTTGCCTTGTGACTCTGGGTAGTTTAATGTGATCTATAAAGGGGTACTTTAGGACATGATAGCACTCAGCTGAGATGAATTTTGTAAAAAAAGAAGAAACAAACAAATGAGTTGATACCTGTAATGCTTAGCTTGGTTTCTGGCACATGTGCATGTCCGATTTACAAAGTGGTGACTCTGGGAAGTTGTGCAGGCAGAGCCGCTGCCCCTGTGTCTCTCGGCCAGCCCGTCCTTGTTCACTGAGCACGTGCACTGAGCCAGGCCGTGAAGGAGGCGTTGGAGGAAGAACAGGTGCACACAAGAGAGGCAGTCTTTATCTACACGCAGCCTTTGGGGAGAGTATTAGCAAAAAAAAATGGAATAAATAAAATAAAATAATCGAAGCCTGCAATATATGCTAAGAAGTAACCAATAAAAACAGACACAAAATAACAAAAGGAGTTTCTTCTTGGTTAGGCAGTCGAGAAAGTCTAAGTCAGTAGATTTCAAGTGAAGATCTCAAAGAAAAGAGGTGAGCTATGCAAATCTGGGGTGATGGCAGGCTTTCCAGGAAAGCAGAACAGCACACACAAAGGTGGTGCGTGGCAAGGCCTTGCCCAGAGGTGCTGAAGTGTCTGGGTGAGGAGAGGGAGCTGCCAGATGTGACAGAGGACTGGCAGGACCCAGCTCAGGAAGGCCTGGTTGGCCATGGTGAGGAACGTAGGTTTGATTCTGTTTGCAACGATAAGTCAGGGAAGGGTTTTTAAATAGCGGCAAGACAATGATATTTCATATGCTCTGGAAAGACCACTTTTGCTGCTTTGTAAGTCAAGGCACCTGGGCTTCATTGACCATGCACACAAATCAGCATGTGGCTCCAGATGTTCATAAATGCAATACCCTCCCTCTCTCTCTCTCTCCACACACACACACACACACACACACACACACACACACACACACCATATATCCATATATGTTTATCAGTAATCGAACATTAACAAGGCTACTGTTTTCTTCCCATACACAATGAATTCTCTGTGGTACCCTCTGGGTACCTGTATCCGGTCCTGACGATGACCAGCGTAGCGCAGAGGTAATTTGGAGGACAGCAGTTGGGGAGCAGGGAGAGCTGTCAGGAGGCCGTCGTGCTAGTCCAGGTGAGGGAGGATGGTGACTAGACTAAGGGGGTTGCATAGTTTTCATATACACAGTGAGAAGACTCCTTATTGGAATTACAGATCCATGTTCTCTACTGGTCTTTGACATCAACTATTTTCCTAATAAATGACCCATTCTTAATGCGTTGTATTAATAAAACCTATTAGGGTGCTTAGTGGGTTGTTGGAATGAAAACCCCTTGAAACAGCCTAACCCACTTCTCCCCATGATTAGCCTGCTTCTTCAAGTCTTCTAGGAAAAGAGGATGATTTAGGGAATTTCTGGCACTTTCCCTTTCTATTGACCAAAATCATGGGGATGAGAACTATAAGATATAAAATGAATTTATAAAAAAATACAACAACCCTGGCTGGCGTAGCTCAGTGGATTGAGCGCGGGCTGCGAACCAGTGTCACAGGTTCGATTTCCAGTCAGGGCACATGCCTGGGTTGCAGGCCATAACCCCCAGCAACCGCACATTGATGTTTCTCTCTCTCTCTTTCTCCCTCCCTTCCCTCTCTAAAAATAAATAAATAAAAATCTTAAAAAAAATACAACAATACTTGGAACCAACTCCATCAAATGAATAATTAAATTGGGCAGTAAAAAAATGCCTGCCCTCTATGATTTCTCAGCGAATGGGCTGCAAATGCTTTCACTTTAAAGGGATCATTGTAATAGATGTGTTTTAATGGCAGTTGTAAACTCTTTGGGAAGAGAAATTTTTGAAACCAAGCAATCTTAATTTTGCAATACTAGATTGAGAGCAGAAAATTAGAATCTTCTGATTTCTTTTTTTTTGTTTGTTTCCATTTCACTTTTATCAGTCCTCTATTTGACTCTTGAATCCAATTTTCCACTCTAGGAGGAATTCTCACGCACTTACCCAGACTGGAAAAGAGGTTAGCAGGGCATGGAAAGAAAGCATTAAACAAATGGTCCTGCAAAGCTCTAAAAACCTTTCGGAGGAGAGGAAAACAGCTGTCCTGGGCTTTGCCAAAGAGCGCTTGCAATTTTGGAAGGGGGGAGGGCCTCTCATTCTCTTCTCCTCCATCCAGAAGCCACAGCCTTCCAGACGTACTCCTTTTATAGGTGGGTGCAGGTGTGGGCAGTAAAGGCACTTTTGGAAGACACAGTCTGTGTCTCCTTTAGTGACAAAGAGGGACTGAGCTCCCTTGTCCTTTTAAGCCTGCCCTCCTTGGATTGATCATAAGAGAACAATAATTTAATTTTTTTGTGACACAACTCAGGCTTGATTGGTACATTAGCAATTCCTCTTGGGCAATATCAGAAAAGGTTATCATTAATTGAAGAATAATTATCACTCTGTTCCTTTCCAGTTGGTCCCATCGTAAATTCAGAATTCAGATTTTTCAGTAAGGCTACCTTTGCAAATGCAAAAATGGGCAAAGCCATAATTTTGGAAATTGCACTCTTTTGCTGTGGCATTCATTTATTCAATCAGTAAATATTCATTGACTAACTTAATCGTTTCCACGTGAAAGGAAATGTTATTAGACACTTGAAGACTACAAAGAAATATGAAGGTATTTCATCCCTTAGAAGCAAACTTTCTATTTCAAAAAGGCTTGGATATTGAGAAGTTCTTTGTAATTTTCAAAGCCCATTCACCTACTATAAATCTTCATCTGAACTTTTGAATAGTAGCAGGGGAACTGGGTTGGGCAGACATTATAATCATACAATTACAGAATTTTAGGAATGGAAGAAATTTTAAAGGTCATCTAATGCAACCACTTAACATGAAAGCGCGGGAAAGCCAGAGATTGAGGCCCCACAGCGAACTAGTGGTGGAGCGTCTAGACACAGCAAGTTTGCTAATAAAAATCTAAAGCCATGTGTGCGAAGCTCTGCGCTAGGCACACGTGACACGGAGAAACAGAGCACCGTGCCTTTCTTGTATTCATTTACATGCAGGTAGATCATAGATTCATAATAAATGTTTATTGGATCAATGACTTACATTTCTTACCCCTCGGGCAGTGTCAAGCATCGAGGATAAACTGATGAACAAAATAAACTGGCCACTTCTTCCAAGTTGCACACAATTTGGTCTCACTGTCCTCAGTGAGTTTGCAATCTCTCAGGAAAGCCAAGACACATGCCCACAAAATGCAGGGAAGACTGGGTTCCAATACACTGAATGCTTTCCGAGGTCAGGAAAGGAATCTAAGCGCGGTAATTGATGGAAATCCTCCCCCCTCCCCCCGTCCATCATTTAATTACATCATTCTCTGCGGAGGCCTTTCCGGGATCTCCCCCGGGCTTGGACACGGATTCTGCTCAAGGTAAGGTCAAGATGCCAACTCATGGAGACTAAGGGAAAAATCAGGAGCCCAACCATCTCTGTTTTCTAAACTGGAAAAGACCTGGGTGAGGACCGGGGAGAGAACAGCCCCAGGGACTGACAGAAACCACAAAACTGGAATAGGAAGTCTCCAACGCAGGGACCACTCCGCGAGCTCCGCGCTGGCCGCCCCCACCGGAGGCGCGCGCGGGCTCACAGAGGAGCCCAGCGGGCGGCCGCGCGGGCGCAGAGCGGGAGGCGGAGAGGAGCGGGCGGCGGCAGCGCCGGCGAGCCCACGGGGAGGGTCGGCAGCGCATCCTGTCCCCGCAGCCACCCGCGCACTGAGCAGCTCGCGAGCGGGACGCCGCTCCGTGAGCCCCGGCAGCGCCCGCCCGCCCTCATTCCCGCGTTGCTTGCCAGCGCGCCAGCGCCCGCTCCGCCCGTGACTTCAGTTCTGCTCCACCCCCGCGTGGCGGCGGCTCGCTCGGTCCGAACCCGCGCTCCTCACCAGCCCAGCCTGGGCGAGCGGCGGCCACCTGCCCGGCGCCGCCTTCGCCCGCCCCACCGCCGCCCAACTTGGATGGAGTTGGGGTCCTGAGCGCCTGTCCTCCACAGCCGGACAGCGGAGAGCCCCCGCGCCGCCACCTCCGGTTCGGGACGCCCTCCCCGCTGCTCTCCGCTCCGCGATGGGAAAAGTTGGTGCCGGCGGCGGCTCCCCAGCCGGGCTGAGCGCGCTCTTCGCCGGCGCGGGGCTCCTGCTCTTCTGCGCCCCGGGCGCCTGCGGCGGCGGCTCCTGCTGCCCCCACCTGCACCCCAGCTCCGGCCCACGCTGGGCTCCGACCCCAGGAGCTTTTTTTCACCAGGGACCGCGAGGCAAGCCTCCTGCCACGCCCCCGCCCCTCCTGGGTCGCCCACTGTTCGCAGTGGCCCCCGGAGACCGAGCGCTGCCCCTGGAGCGGGCCCGGGGCACCGGGGCATCCGTGGCGGTTGCTGCACGCTCTGGCCGGAGGAAACGGAGTGGAGCGGATCCGGAGAAGGCAGAACAAGGAGAGGGCTCCAGTAGAAGCCCCCGGGGAGTGCTCAGGGACGGAGGGCTGCCGCAGCCTGGGACTCAGGAGCGGGACCCCGACAAAGCCACTCGCTTCCGGATGGAGGAGCTGAAACTGACCAGCACCACGTTCGCGCTGACGGGCGACTCAGCACACAACCAAGCTATGGTCCACTGGTCCGGCCACAACAGCAGCGTGAGTAGAATGGGACTGAGGGCCAAGGGGTGAAAGATGTGATCCGGTAGAGAATTGGGAGAAATGGGTTTTCTGGACTGGAAAGGTGCTGCAAAGTCCAGTCGTGCCTGTTACCTCCCCGCTCCCCGCTCAGGAGTTAATGATACCTACCTACTAGGTAGAGGACTCTCCCCACCCGCTAAAAACATAATAATAAAAATAAAATGAATCAATTAAAAAAATCATTCGAGTCCTCTCCAAACCCCAGAGATTCAAACAGCAGAGAGATCCCTGTTTCCTGCTTCTAGGGTCGCATTGGTGCAGTACTGTGGATCTGAAGACCAGTCGGAGAGGGTTAAATAAAGTATTCTGAATGTGGAGGTGACAGGGTTAAATTTCCAGGGAGGCTGACATTCCCCCAAGTGACTTCCTCTTTACTTGCTAGGCTTATGGATGAGTGCAAGTAAAATCAATTAAGACTTTATTTGAGGATTTTTCTTGTATTTTTATGCAGAGCTACCGGCCCCCTCTTCCTTCCACAGGGAAGAGAAATGCAATTGATAAGGGTATGCCTTAATGTCTTCTCTGTTTCTGGAGACCGACCTGGTGCCTGCAAGTTTCAGGACGGGGACTCTCCAGCATCTCCTCCCAGCATCAGCCAGTGTGTGCTGAGAGCCGGGCTTTTCAGCCTGTGAATGAGTGGTTGTTCTCTGGCATGATCGGTCCCAGGAAGATCAGATATATCCCAGTGACAACAACTCCCTGTTCTTCTCCGTTGCCTGACCTCCTCTGGTGAGGAGCATAAATAAAGACTTAGCCTCCCTTTATGAAGGGAGCAGAGCGGTGTCCTGGTTCCAGGAGGCTGACCCTGGGGAGAGTGGAAGCCCATGACTGTGGTTGGCCAAGTCAGGGAAGAGCCTGCCTCCCTGGAACCTGAGTAGCAAGTGATTCCAGTCCAGGCTGCACCTGGAAACTTCAATGAGCTGAAATAGTAAAGAGCCAGCTTTGATGGCAACAACGGAAGGGGGTTTGAAAGTGTGGAAACCTCTCTACGCTGCCGTTTAAGCAGACAAGATCTTTCAGAAGATCATAAAAAAACTAAGGATGGGTAAAATGAAAGGACATAAGTCAAAGTTTCAGCTTCCATCAGGTTTTGCAATTGTAGTATTTCTAGTGCATCTATGCAGCTTGATACCTTTCAAAATGTTTTCAGTTGTGGTGTAATTGCCAGAAACCTCCCCAGGGAAGTGCAAGTTTAGTGAGTTGTGCTCATCCTCAGCTTTTTAATGAAAGTTGTGAACATTTTAAAATAACAGTGTGTCATTATGGAGTCTTTGGGTACATACATATAAAGTGTTTTAAGGCAAATCCTGATAAATAGTATTTTGTATTGATGTTTCTGTTCTGAGAGCATCATCAGGGTATTCCCTATGATTTAGCTTTCGTGACGGAGGCTGTGGTTTCTATATGGTTCTCAGGACTGGTTTAATCAAATAATTGAAGCTGACTTCATTTCATTCAAGTTCTAGAGACCCTTGCCCTCATTCCTTACCTTAACTATTATATTTTTCATATCATAACTACTGATATAATAACTGATATTTTTCATATCATAAAATTAATCACCCAGTTTGAACTCGAATCTTCTTAAACTAATTGAATAACTTTTGCACTGCTTAAGTGATTAGTTCAAAGCTTCTGGATTTAAGGGGAGATTTTAAACACATCAAGCATATTAGATCTATTGTATCAAGGAGTAAAGGACTTTGGACTCAAAGTATTTCTGGCTTTTAATGTAATTCAGGCTGTAAAATATCACTCACCCATTAGACCTCTCCTTTAGTTCGTCTCTTGAAAGATCTTGGAAAGAGCGAGAAAAGGAGAGTACATATTTGGCAAATTTTACACTCCATTTAAGAAATGGCGCCAAGCACTGCCAGATTTTTTTTTTAATGGTGCTTATAAGCCCAGTAGGGCTTATTAGGGCCAGCATTTGGAGGGGCAACGTGCAGGGAAGTCTGAGATAACGTAGGGAGTAGTCAAAGCGGTCTATGCTAAAGGTTTGGGCACTCAAATCATGTTAACTGATAATGAGATTTCTACTGTACTAAGTCACTTATTTTTGTAAGGACACTTCTCCCTTCCCACACCCCTATCCCTGCCTGCTTACACACATTTTTTTTTCAAGTGTATATGTGCAGATGGTAGAAGAAGAGAAATAGTCTGTATCCAGGTCCTCCAAAACAAAGCTGACCCAGATTCATAGGTGAGACAAAGTTTCAAATATTTTTTACAGGGGAGAAAGGTAGAAAAAAACTTTTTTTTTCTTTTGCCCAACTTTATGACATGCAAAGTAGAGCAGAGGCCTGAGTTCAAGTTCTGCTCATTTGTATTTGTGTTTTACAAAACAGGGCATCGTGACTGTAAGGTCTGGTACACCTGTTTGGAACTTGCATCCCCCCAGAATTAGAAATCTACTGACCTAAACCTGAAGACAGCATGGGGGGTGGGTACTGGCGGCCCTCGTTTTTTCACTTTTAGTTGTCTTCCCTAATACATGCATGCCCTGATGCATTCAGGGCTACAGACAATACACATCCTAGGAACTCACCTTACCTTTGGCTGAAAGCCTTTGCAAGTAAGGCTGTTTCTGATGACAGTAATACCTGCATTAAAGGTGTAAATGTATGGTAATTCTAGGCTGCCTGTCAAACTTGTGGGAAATTCCAGGTGGTTCTCTCACCTCTTTTCCCTTCCCCTGCCCTCTCCAGCTGTTGGACTTGTGCATTTGGGTAAAAACGGGACTGTTGTGCCTCCTCTGTGGGTGTGATGTGATTGCTCTGTACTGCAGTCTAGCGCATTGGACACTGTTGCTAGAGTTGGTGGAACACCTGGGGGCATCTTTTGGCATGAAAGGTGCTGGGTATGAATCATTTGTCATGAGCTTGGTGTCATAAGCAAGAACATATTGTTCCTACCCTACTCATCCCAGGCATGCTGCGCCCTGATCTAAATTTATACGGTATCCTTAGTTTGTTAAAATATATATTTGTCTGTGTATGTATGTGTGATGGGGCATGTGTTTATTTCTTATTTCCAGAGAATTTCAAAGTGCCACACTTATTAATCCGTATAAAATCCTTGTTAGGTAATAGGTGAGTGGCAAGTGTTAATACCTCTTTCATATTTTTATGCTAGAGTCAGTTTGAATATTTCAATTCACCACCACCATGTCCCCTTCTGCTAAAAATAGTGTTGTAATATTTGTTTTTTTAAAAGATTTTATTTATTTATTTTTAGAGAGGGAAAGGATGGAGATAGAGAGAGAGAGAGAGAAACATCAATGTGTGGTTGCTGGGGGTTATGGCCTGCAACCCAGGCATGTACCCTGACTGGGAATCGAACCTGGGACACTTTGGTTCCCAGCCCGCGCTCAATCCACTGAGCTACGCCAGCCAGGGTGTAATATTTGTTAACAGAGGCTTTTACTTGACGTATTTGGCCATTATGAAATCTTTAATGCTGCACTTATCATCGAGCATGGCAGTCTGGTTGGTCCTTGTACCTATTTTCCTCCACTTCTCCTGGGACTGGAAATTCACCATCCACCCTTAGTGAATAAACTGAGTTGAGTCCATCTTGGGTCAGGCATTTGGGTTTGCATTCCATCATCTCTCTTAATTGTCCTCAAAAGACATGTTGTTACATAGAGGAGGAAACTGAGGCTTTGTTAGGACTTGCCAAGAGAGGGTACAAAAGGTCAAGGACTTGCCAAGAGGGTACAGAAGGTCAGTGGCAAAGCCAGGGACTGGCCCCAGGAGTGACCTGACTCCAAAACCCTACTGAATGGCTTGTCCTAAAGACCTGAAGGCAGGATAGAAAAACTCAGACATTTTAGAGTCCGTAGTTAAACAACCCTATCTTGGGTGGATTTCAGGTGATGGTGGAGGAGGCATAGTCTGAGCTGGAAGCTCCAAGTACTTGCAGAAAAGCAGGAACTGTAAAATGCGCCTGTCACATACACTCTTTACCTTAAGTAGTGATTTGGTTGTTCTCTTATTCACCCACCTCTTCATCTTTAGTGAGACATGGAGTCTGCAACTGGTGACTCATTGAGCATGAGGTGACCTGCCATCACTCAGCCTTCAGATCTGGTGTTCTTCAGGAACAGATTCCTTTTCTAAGTTGATTACGTATCTGATTTTATAGAGAGGTTGCTTATGAACACTTGATTTGGCTGAACATTTTGACATAGGTTTTTTTGAGCTGTGTTTTTTTATTGTTGTTCAGTTACAGATGTCCCACCTTTTTCCCCATTGCTCACCCCTACCCTGTCCTCCCCCACCCCTACAGTCAATCCTCCCCCATGGTTCGTGCCCAGGAGTCCTTCATTCGTGTTCCTTTGCTTGCCCCTTCCCTTTTTCCCCTATTATCCCCATTCTCTCTCCCCTCTGGTCACTGTCAGTTTGTTCTTTATTTCTATGTCTCTGGTTCTATTTTGCTTATTTGTTCATTTTTCTGATCAGGTTCCACTTATAGGTGAAATCCTATGGTATTTGTGTTTCACCACCTGGCTTACTTCACTTAGCATAATGCTCTCCAGTTCCATCCATGCTGTTGCAAACGATAGGAGCTCCTTCTTTCTTTTTGTTGCATAGAATTCCATTGTGTAAATATACCATAGTTTTTTGATCCACTCATTTACTGATGGGCACTTGGACTGTTTTCAGCACTTGGCTATTGTAAATTGTGCTGCTATGAACGCTGGAGTGCATAGGTTCTTTTGAATTGTTGATTCAGTATTCTCAGGGTATAGTCCCAGCAATGGGATCACTGGATCAAAAGGTAGGTCCATCTTTAATGTCTTGAGTAAATTCCATACTGTTTTCCACAGTGGCTGCACCAGTCTGCATTCCCACCAACCGTGCTCTAGGTTCCCTTTTCTCCACAACCACGCCAGCACTTGTTGTTTGTTGATTTATTAACAATGGCCATTCTGACAGGTGTGATGTGGAGCTGTT